TGCGGTGGCAGGCGCCTGTAGTCCCAGCTACTCAGGAGGCTGAGGCAGGAGAATGGTGTGATCCTGGGAGGCGGAGCTTGCAGTGAGCCGAGATCGCGCCACTGCACTCCAGCCTGGGGGACAGCTGTCTCTTATACACATCTAGATGTGTCTTCCCCACCTTCCCAACCTCATCCCCGTTTCCCCGTTTTCCAGTGGCTCCAGGCCGTTCTCCTCCCCTGAGCATCCATGAAGACCCCCACCAGAAGCCGCAGCCCCAGGGGCTTCTGTCGTCAAACACTCCCACACTCGGAGGTAAAGGCATAAATCCTGGCCAGAGCATCCCAGCCTTGGACCTGTTTCTCGGCTTCCTTGGCCTTCCCACCCTGCCCTCCAGCTCCCGAAAAGCTGTACCTTTGCACGTGTCCCTGTGCCTGAAATCCGCCTCCCCGGGGCACTGGGGAAGCCCCGATCTTTGGTCCTGCTCCCTTTCATTTGACCTGAAAATATTTACTGCGTGCTCCCTGCTGGCCTAGCCCTGCCTTGGGCCCTGGGAAAGGGCATGAAGAGAGAGACCTAGTTTCTGCCCTCCTGACTCTCACCTTCGATAAATGGTGATCCCTACTGCAGCATATCTTTGCAGGATGTGACAGTCAGAGCTAACATTTATTGAGCATGTACTATGGATTCCACCTGTTCGAGACACTTCGTATTTATTATCTCGTTACAGTCTCACCACAGCCCTGATGTGCAGATAGTATCATTTACATCTCACAGATGAGGAGACTCACACAGAAAAGTGGAGCTCCCTGCTCAGGGTCACACGGTGACGCAGGTGACAGGTGACACAGCTGAGCTGGGAACCCAAGCAACTTGGGCTACAGGGACTGCACACCTCCTCTCCATGTGTGGCTGTAGAGGGGTGGAGGCAAGGACGAGACAGACAAGAGACCACCACAGGAGCGCGCTTTGCCTCAGGGTTAGGGAAAGCTTCTCCCAGGACCTGACATTTTAACCGAGACCTGAATGAGGAGTTGAGATTCATAAGGTGCAGAGGGCAAGAGCTAGATCAAGGCTCAAACACAGTTCTTTTCAAAACATACAGAGCTCTCAAGAAAGTAAAAGAAATCTGAGTCCATAAAGAAAGAAGTAAATAGAATAATGGACCCCCAAAGCTGGCCACTGAGCAGAAGGCAGATGTGAAAGCCACAACGGTCCTGGGCAGACCTGGACCCCCACTGGGTCTGAGGTCCTGGAAGCAGAGCCTGAGGCAGGGATTCCAGAGCAAGCCACTTCGCCATTTCGCTGGAGGTGCAGGTAGCAGCCCTGGGCAGTGGGGAAGTGGTCCAGGGTGGGGAAGGAGGCTGGCAAGCATGTGGCACTCAGTGAACCCACGTGGTGGGGAACTGGAGCCTGACCCCAGAGAGGGACTCTGGGAAGTGGTGCAAACTGTGAGCCTCCGGTGAGCTCACCCAAGGGATGAGGGAACAGGTATTTTCACAGTGATGCCCAAGAATCGTTGATTGAGGGCTGCCCCGAGGGATGTCTTCTCCTACACCCTCCACTTGGCACTCACACAGAGCCCTCTGGGGAGCCAGGGTGGTCCCAGGTCAGCAGCATCCCTGCTTGCAAAAGCAAAACCAACAATGAATCCTCTCCGGAGAAAGCAAGCCCCAACTTAGGGAATGGGGTTCCCACAGATTTAACTGAATCAAATATAAGTTCAAAATGAAAAATCAGCACATATCTAAAGAAAGCAAGCCTCCAAGTAAGATTCAGCTGACAGTGACAAGCAACAGATTTAAATCACCACAAACTTTCTAAGTGGAAAATATCAATATAGGATATAAAATTAACCTATTTCTTATGCTTAAGATAAAATAAGAAACAAAGCACTATGAAACCGATCACCATGCTTATCAGAAAAAAAACAGAACCTCTAGAAATGAAAAACTTTTCATTGAAATGAAAAGGTCAGCAGAAACCTTGAAAGAATTATGGTAACAAGAAAACACACTGTGTGGTTTTCTTTTTATGAAATGTCCGGAATAAACAATCCAAGAGAGACAGAGGTAGCTTAGTGGTTGCCTGGTGGTAGAAGGGTGGGATAGGGGAATCAGTTCCTCCTTAGGAACTGCCAATGGGCACTACTAATAAATAAAGTGATAAAATCACTCATTTGGGAGTGATGAAAATATTCTAAAAATAGTGATTATGGTCACGCAACTCTATGAATATACTACAAACCCCTGGCTTGTATATATAAAAGGGTAAATGTTACGGTATGTGAATGATATCTCAATAAAGGTGTTTTTAAAAATACTCAGCAAACAGATTATACATCAAATTAGACACAACTGAAGAGGGAATTCATAAACTAGAAGATAAATCTTTAAACAATTACCAAGAATATAGCACCAAGGATAAGGAAATAGAAAACAGGAAAAATAAGAAACATAAAAGATGATGTTTTTCTGATGGCCACTTGAATCTGAGCAAGAAAAGAAGAAAAGAAAAAACTAAAACAAAACAGAAAGATGGTGTGCAGAGAGCTTGTGGAAGTGTGGTTGATACCTCAAAGGAAAGAGAGTCAATCGTTGAAGTTACACCTGAGAATATTTCAGAACGGATAAAAAATAAGTATGCACAGAGAGGCACAACATGGACTAAATAGAATAAAGAAAAATAAAGTTTAGATGACATAGTGAAATTGCAGAAGATCTTTAAGCCAAAAAGAAAAGGAAGACCAGCTCCCAGGAAACAGCAATAAGACTGACAGCAGAATTCCAGCAGCTCCAGTGACAGCCAAAGCAGAGGAAAATCAGAGCTGTAAAGGGCTCAGAGGGAAATAACTGTCACTAAGAACTTGACGGATCTTCCAAAAATAAGTGTAAAACAGAATTTTCAGAAAATTAAAAGTTTAGAAAACAACTCAATGGCAAGAAAACAAATAGGCCAATTTAAAAATGACCCAGAAGTGGAATAAAGCTTTCTCAAGAGAGGACATACAATGCCATCAGGTGTATGAAAAAAATCTTCAGCATTGTAATCAGCAGGGAAATGCAAATTAAAATCGCAAGGAGAGATCACCTCCTGCCTGTTAGAATACCTGTCATCAAAGATACAGGGATAACAATTTTTGGTGAGGATGTGGAGAAAGGGGAATACTTGTGCACTGTTGGGGGAAAGGTAAATTAGTACAGCCGTTAGGGAAAGCAGTATGGAAGTTCCTGAAACAATTAAACATTGAGCTACCTTACCACCCAGCACTTCCAGTTCTGGATATATAGCTAGAGAAATAGAAATCAGTATCTTGAAGAGAGGCCTGCACTGCCATGTCCATTGCAGCATTGTTCTTAACACCCAAGACATGGAATCCACTTGGGTCCAACAGCAGATGAATGGAAAAAAGAAAAAGTGAGAGGGAGAAAGAGAGATAGACTAGATAGATATAAGCCAGACTCGGTGGCTCACACCTGTAATCCCAGCACTTTGTGAGGCTGAGGCGGGGGATCACCTGAGGTCAGGAGTTCAAGACCAGCCTGGCCAACATGGCAAAACCCTGTCTCTACTAAAAATACAAAAATTAGCCAGGTGTGGTGGCATGTGCACCTGTAATCCCAGCTACTAGGGAGGCTAAGGTAGAAGAATCGCTTGAACCCAGAAGGCAGAGGTTGCAGTGAGCCAAGATCACGCCACTGTACTCCAGCCTGGGCGACAGAGTGAGACTATCTCAAAAATAAGTAAATAAATAAATAAAAATATTAGAGAGATGTAGATCTATAAAGTGTTAAAATAAAGATTATGAAACTGACGGGATGCACTCTTTGTGGCAATAATACTCCAAATTATAAATAAGACCTAAGGCTGTGACAGGCAGGAATTAAGTCACACACCCCTAAACTTAAAGAATAAACTATGTTCTAACCACAAGGATTTTTATTTTTCTCTAACAGCTAAACAACCACTGGCCACAAAAAAATGATATGTGTGTGAGGTGACGAATATGTTAATTAGCTTAATTTAATCATTATATAATGTGTACATATATCAAAACATCACGGTGTACCCCATAAATATGTATAATTATTATGTGTCAAACTTTTTTAACTTTAGATACATTTTTTCAGATGAATAAAAATCGGAGACATTTAGAGAGTTTACCACTAACAGCACTTCCCTAAAGACATTTTTAAAGAATGTACTTCAAGAAGAAAATTTGTCACAGAGAGAAGGTTAGGACCATGTGTGGTGGCTCACACCTGTAATCCCAGCACTTTGGGAGGCCTAGGTGAAAGGATCACTTGAGGCCAGGAGTTTGAGACCAGCCTGGGAAACAAAGGGAGACTC